ACTTCGAATCTGAATCCGCTGTGAGTAGTAGTACACTGGCTAGCGCTACACTTGCGAGATGAACTAAATTGACCGCAACATTTTTTGATAGATAATTAATTACAAATTATAGCGGATAACGTTTCCGAACGTCTCCTTAGCCCTGGTCGTAAGCGGTCCAATAGGGGCAAGCCGCCCGACCGCTATTCGCCAGCGCGATAGCATTTTAAAATACGCGCCAAGTGGCGTTATGTTACTGGCCGCTGATTGGCCGACACAGTATTAGAAAAGTTATGGCGGACTTTACAGTTTTGTGCGTGTGTCTCTTGTAATTTTTATAGAGTTTATTAAAGTTTATGCCGCGTAACAGGACTTTTCACTGTAACCGACCCACCCCGACTACATCCTGGCGCTCCAACGTGTGTTTAGTATAAAACAAGGGGTCAAAGTGTTATAGTTCGCGGATCAAACTTTTTTCGTTCGTTGCAAGTTCGTTCATGTCGAAAAGTTAGGTATAAAACGACCGACAAGTGCTAAAAACTGTGTATGGACAGTGACTTTGCTATTGTTTTGTGTCTACGAGTGGTTTTTGCTGGTTGGTACAACCACGAGCCGTACCTTTGTTACTTTCGTCGAAAAGTAGGTACTTATTGGTTTGCAAAATGCCGCGAAGACGCAAGTCGTTACGTACCGACGCCGACGAGTCTGGACACGAGGACTCCGAACCAGAACAGTCAAGCAACATTACGATGCCACAAGACGTCCTTGCCAAGCTGTTGACATCAATCCAACAATCGCAAGCAGAGTTTTGTCAACAACTTTTACGCGAAGTTCGTTCGTCGACGCCATTGCTTTCGTCAGCCGACGCAAGTACATCCATCGCCACCGCCAACGCCGCTGCGGCTATTATGAAGTCCACGGCAAATTTTTCGAAATGCACTTCAAAGTTTAGTGGCAGTCCGGAGGAATCCGTTGACAACTTTATAGATGCAATCGAGGTTTACAAGTCATGCCTAAACATAAGCGACGAGAACGCTCTCTTAGGTATGTCGATGCTGCTCACTTCATCGGCGGGAACATGGTGGCAAGGTGTTAAGGGCACGACAAAAACGTGGGAAGAAGCCATCACGCGATTACGGAGTGCGTTTGGCGAGCGTCGCCCACCATTTCGCATTTATATCGAACTGTTTTCACAGATACAAGGCACTGAAAACACGGATTTGTTTATATCAAAAGTTCGTGCCTTGTTCGCGAAATTACCACAAGGAGATTTATGCGAACGCGTCGAGTTGGACATGGCTTACGGATTATTGGATCGTCGTATCAGGAAGCGCGTCGACAGAGCTACGGTTACAACGTTCGAGGAATTGTTGAAAAAGGCACGCGCCGTAGAAGACTCCTTAAATGAGTCACAAAACGGTCGCCCTTGTCTTATGCCGTCGTCTCATAGTGAAGATAGGTCAAACGTCGCCGCCTCGGTCGAGCCAGCGCGAGTTCGTACCTACACGTCGAGTACTGCTTCCCGGTCGTCCGCTGTTGTCGCTTCTGGTCGCATGGGCGATTCAGCGACAGAAAAGACAGGGACCACCAAGTTATTCTGTGTTTACTGCAAACGTAGCGGTCACACAAAGGAAACGTGCGAGAAATTAGTGAAGAATAGTGACCAAAATAAATCTAACAATGATTTTAAAAAAGACATTAAGTGTTACGGTTGTGGTGCCGCGAATATAATTAAGTCTAAGTGTCCGAAGTGTAATGCCAATAATGTGAAAAACAATGGACATTCGGCATTTTATTCGCTTACTTCTGCACGTGATTCTCGTGCACCCACCGATTGCTTCAGGTCGCACCGTACGCCGCGCGTACGTAGCGACATACGCTCCGGCTCCGACGGCAGCGCGCCGCGACCGCACCATGCGCCTACCCCGCTGCCGCGAGGTAGCGTGATGTTTGGCGGTACAGCGGGCGCGCCTACGTGTCCGAGCGTCGAGCGACACGCGTCGTCGCTGCACAGTGTTCGAGGTAACCCCGCAGCCGTGCGAGGCGCAGGGATTTGTGTCACTAATTCTCGTACTGATTGTAATAGTTTTAATGAAAATTCTTTTTGTATTGATAATCGAAATCGTTCTGTATTACGTAAAAATTGTATTCGTCTTTGTACTAAAACTAATGTGTGTGTTTGTACTAAGAATGTAAAATGTGTTTGTACCAAGAATGTAAAATGTGTTTGTACTAAGAATTTAAAATGTGTTTATACTGCTTGCGACCAGGGGGAGGCCGCGTTACCGTTGTATTCTAGTGTTAGTACGTCACGGTCGGTATCGTTTAATGGTTGTCAATCGCATCCTGGTATTCCCGACGGTTCAAAGTCTTGCGCTCGCGACTTTATGCCTGTTACCTGTGATTATAAACCATTTGATAACAATATCAGCGACTCTCAACATTTTTCACAAATCGCAAGCGGTAGTCAACCTTTTTCTGAGAATGTCAGTGCTTCTCAACATTTTCTTTCAAAGAACGATAATTGTCAACGTTTGTGCGGAATTGCCAGTGGTGGACAACCATTGAATGGTAATCGCGATTTTCGATCCTTTTTAAGGCCCGTGCTAAATATCAGTATTTTAGGGGAGAATGGTACCGCGTTATTAGATTCGGCAGCTAAAAGCTGTGTCGCTGGTCATACGCTATACGCTCTCCTAAAGGCCAAAGGTCATCCTATGTCCTCCGGTATGGAAAATGTAAAACTAGCGGATGGTGTACTTAGGTTAATGAATGTACTAACTACCGAAGTAAATGTTACTCTTGAAGGTAGAACCAGGCTCGTTCGTTTTTTAATTTTTCCGGAGTCGAATGATAATGAATCACTTCTAGGTATTGACTTTTTGATAAATTTTAACATATCTGTTGATTTTGGTAATTTTAAGTGGCATTTTTCTGACAGTGTTGAACAGTTTGATCTCCCCTTTGAAAAAGTTTCACATCAGGCTGATAGTGTGCCTATAAGTAGTGTACTTAGAATTAAGGCAGAAAAAGAACGGGATAGACGTAAAGATTATGCAGACAAGGGTCGTAAACCTGTAGAATTTGATGTCGGTGATCAAGTATTGGTAAAGTCGCACGTATTGAGTAACGCTGCTATAGGATTATCGGGTAAGTTTGTACCGAAAAAGGACGGTGTCTATAAGGTAGTAAAGAAAGATAGTCCTACGACTTACCTATTGTCTAAAATTGATTCTCCAGACGAGATCTTGGGTAGGTCCCATGCTTTACAGCTTACGGGATTCGTTAATAGTGATAGCCCGCCTCTACCAATTGTGCCGAAACGTAGTCGAGGCCGGCCTCGTCATGTCAAGCCTGTTTCTGCCGATCAGGAGCGGGTTCCTGCGCGAGGACGCCTGCATGAACCCGAGGGGGAGTGTATAGCGGATAACGTTTCCGAACGTCTCCTTAGCCCTGGTCGTAAGCGGTCCAATAGGGGCAAGCCGCCCGACCGCTATTCGCCAGCGCGATAGCATTTTAAAATACGCGCCAAGTGGCGTTATGTTACTGGCCGCTGATTGGCCGACACAGTATTAGAAAAGTTATGGCGGACTTTACAGTTTTGTGCGTGTGTCTCTTGTAATTTTTATAGAGTTTATTAAAGTTTATGCCGCGTAACAGGACTTTTCACTGTAACCGACCCACCCCGACTACAAAATTAATAAATTAAAAAAAAACCCGTGAGAAAAAAACATAAGCTACCTTTAAAAAGTATATAATACTAGAAAAACTAAATTGAAATCGGTTCATTCGTTCAGGAGCTATGATGCCACAGACAGACACACACGTCAAACTTATAACACGCCTCTTTTTGCGTCGGATGTTAATAAAATATGAGATGACGTTAAAAAAGTGGCATTCTATAATGTAATTTCCCCGTCACTTCGATGCTTACTTTAATGTACACTCGAACAAGATTCAAAATCATACAAATTTTATAGAATCGACGTACTGTTGTGCAATCTATTATCCCGTGGTATATGGGGGAGCGCGGATATACGCGAAACACAATGTGTTTTCTATTGTGTCTCACATAATGGCTGACAAGAGGTCAAAGTTGCCTATGAGTGCTCTTTTTAGGGAATCATCAATTGACTTTTCTCGCCTAGGGTGAGGCGAGACGGAGATGGACTCTTACTGGCTAAAAACACCCCCGTTCCTTGTCCTGCTCCGGTCCGAGGCCTCGGTGCCTCATTACGCTTGCCCGGCAACCTCGGCGAACATCAGCCCTGTAGGGTTCCGTCTGTGGTGATCTATTTGGCTCGGAACGCTACGCGCCGTACGATCGGGTCTGGTTCTGGTCGGGCGGCGAGCTACCCTTACTCGCCGTCCGCAGACTTACGGTTGCCGGAGATCGTCTCTTGTGGTGTGAGGAGGTCTGGTGGCTCTTTGATTACGCTCGGGTCTGGTTCTAGTCGGATGGGCACGCCCATATAAACGCATATGACCATGAGGTTCAAGTGTCTAACGAATAATGACTAATGACTAGGCATATTGACATCATTGCCATATAAAATAACGTTTGTCAGTGAAAAGATGACATAATATTGATTTTTAACACTGCCTTATAAGTATGACGAAGCGTATCGAAGCTACTTTATAGAAAAAAAACATGATTTAACTAAAAATCTTACTTCTCTACGTCACAGTATAAAACGAAGTCACTTTTTTGTCCATATATGTGTGCTTAGAGCTCTAAAACTGCTCAAATAGTATTAAAAATGTTAGAAAACGAAAATTGGTTGATTACGTATTTTGCCCACTCGATTGTACCATGCGCAAGTTCGGACTCGCGACTATATTCAGGGCAGTCACAAAGTTTGGCGAGAGCTGTACTTAGGTACACCTAAAACGCAAACATATTAGTCGGTGTTTGAAACAAGCATTTTTCGATCTTTGCCGAGGCCGTGGTATTACTCCGGACGAGCTGACCCATTAGTATAACTTACCTATTTATAATGTTTATTTTTTTATTCCCACAGGGCATGAACCCACGTCTTGCCTTTGCCATCCTGTCCTCTGCATGTTGGTCAGCCTTTCAACATGGGTACAACACAGGAGTACTGAATGCACCTCAAGCGGTAAGTAACTACCTATATACCACCGATCAATGTAAAAAGAGCCAAGTCTCACGGATTTCTTTCATCGTAAAAAGTTTTGATATCCCATAGCAGCCAATTCCTGTTCAACTTAATTTGTAATAATAAATCAATATTTTATATAAATATATAAGTTTAGTTTGCATTACAATAATAGTGACTTTCAAAATTCTAAGTTTGCTAGAAGTAGGTACCTACTTTAGATTTTTGATAATCTTTTTTTTATGTAATAGGTCGGCAAACGAGCAGACGGATTACCTGATGGTAAGCAATCAGCGCCGCCCATGGACACCTGCAACGGAGGAGTTACGAGTGCGTTACCGACCTCTTAGGGATTAGGGTTTTGGAGATTAAGGGATTGGGGAGGGATCGGGGGAGGGGAAGGATTGGGCCTTCGGTAATCTCACTCACACGGCGAAACACAACGCTGTGGTTGTTTTACGCCGGTTTTCTGTGAGGCCGTGGTATCACTCCGGTCGAGCCGACCCATTCGTGCCGAAGCATGGCTCTTCCACACTTAAATTCGGTCAGAGAGTGACAAAATGGTATAACTTTGATTGCTCATAACTCGTAAACTTCAGATAGCATGTAATTTTGAGGTCGAGCTTGTTTTAATACTTACTCTAGGTCATCGAAAACCTTTCCAATCTTATACCATATCGATTATACAGGGTGTGCAATAGCTGCAAAACGGTTCGAGAAAAGGTTTCGAGAAGAGGTTTTGCTCGAGACTTGGCTGGGCCGCTACCGTGCCCCTAGATTATATAATACGTAGTTTTTTATTTGAGGGGAGAAAATCACCAACTCTCTTCTTTCACCCGGGTTGAGGCTAAAGGGCGTGTAAGTTTATTCCTGAATAGAAACCACCTCATTCATTCCTCTGCTCTGCTCCAGGCCAAGTCCGCGGAACATTATATTGCGCTTGACCCACAACCCCGGCTGAGCTAACAACATTAGGTAATTATACATTCAACCAACAACCTGAATGACTAGCCATTTAATTACATCGCTAAAATTCTCATTTACGCCATCAACTGAAGGATGAAGTGAAGGGATTGTCCGATGACAACCGAATTACTAGAAGAATTAGGTTTAAATGTTAATGAAACGATGAATTTATTTTTGTAAATAGGCCATAAAACAGCACTTTTACACGTCAAAAATTGTATGTAAAAAGCTTTGTGAAGCCGGCATTTCTATCTGACTACTCTGAGATGAAATGCCGAAACAAACTCAGAGGTCTAACCCAGACAATGTGAATAATAATCTAATATGCTAGAACCGTGCAAGTTTATTCCGTAGTGGTCTTTTGAGGAAAGAACCACACCAGTTTAAGTTGGCCTGTTCTTAAGAAAGGCATAGTCACCTTACATAAGCTTTAAAGAGCTAAAAGGCCACAACAGATGGGGCCCTACAGGACCGCTATTCAGGCGGAGTTGTGGGGTTACGCAATTAAGGACTACGGCCTTGGACTGGAGCAAGAGAAGGAGCAGGGGATTTTTAGTCAGTAACCTTACATAAATTGAATCGCTAACAAATAGAACAAGAAATACTAAGTTTGTACTGCAATGTCATCTATACTAAAATTATAAAGGTAAGTTTGTATGTAGGGGATAATCTTTGGAACCGCTGGTCGGATTGCCAAAATTCTATAGGCTATAAAACATTACGCTACGATCAAATGGAGCCGAGCAGCGAGTAAAACCGCGCGAGAATAGCTAGTTTATTGTACAATCTATTTTTGAGGGGTAAAAATGATCACTTATAGCATCCCGTTCTTTATTCTGCTGCGTTTGCACTCACAACTCCACTTGATCGTCAGCTTAGGGCTGTAACCAAATCTAAGGTGGTCTGCCCTCTGATCCGATCTCAATAAATACATAAAAAAATATTAGGTACAAATATTGTTCTTATTTATTGCAGGTTATTGCGGAATGGCTACAAAAAGACGTTCTAACCGGCACGAATTTAACACTCCGGGCTATGGATGATCCTAAAGTGATGACGACGCTGTCTATAGCTGTGGCCATTTATTGCGTGGGCGGCATGATTGGAGGTATCATCACTGGGGTTGTAGCTGACAGGTAAGCACAATGAAATGATTATCGTTTCGATTTAATATTTACTCGGAACAAGCAGACCGCCCCTGCTTCGCCCGGGTATCCGACTATCCCGGTGTCAGTCATTTGTTTTGCAAATGGTTCCACGGCTCCGAAAGGGTTTGTGAGGACCACCTAGAGGATACGGTGGAGCATACGGTAGCGGTATGCCCTGCCTGGGCTGAGCACCGCCGTATCCTCAGGGAAGTGATTGGCGGCGGCGACCTCTCGCGCCCGGCCTTAGTCGAGGCCATGGTGCGGAGTGAGAGGAACTGGGACGCTGTCTCCTCCTTTTGTGAAGCAGTCATGCTCGCAAAGAGAGAGGCGGCCCGCGTGAGGGAGCAACCTTCCTCCTCACGCCCCAGCCGCCGCAACTGGCGACACTATGGGCGTCGGGGATCGAGGGACGATCTCCGGCCACCGTAAGCACGGGTCTGCGGTCGGCGAGTAAGGGTAGCTCGCCGCCCGACCAGAACCAGGCCCGAGCGTACGGCGCTTAGCGTTCCACGCGCGCCTCAAAAAGCAAATAGACCACCACAGACGGGGCCCTATAGGGCTGATGTTCAGCCGGGGTTGCGGGGTAAGCGCAATGAGGCACCGCGACCTCGGCCCAGAGAGTGATCCTCACAATGACGACACTCGGGCATTTCCTCCCGCTGGATCCGAAACAGGAACCTACCAAAGCTGCTGTTCCCCATAAGCACCTGCGTCAGGCGAAAGGTGAGGACGCCGTGGCGTCTCTCAAGCCACTCCTCAAAGAGGGGTGTTACCGCTGCTATAGTAGCGTGCCCGGCCCTCGGTTGCGACAGTCGCTGCTTCCACTCAGCCATGAGATCTCGCCGGAGCTCATTCCGCCACGCATTAATTTGGCGCGGCAGAGGATCCTCGCCCCGGCGACGCGCGTCTGCGCGCAAACTGTAGACGCGCGCGAGCGCCTTCGCTTCCAGATCCCATGGCGGTGATCCGGCAAGGAGGTTCGCCGCCTCTCCGGAGATCGTGCGATATCCGCGGATTAAAGATTACCCCCTAACATACAAACTTACAAATTTTACCTCATTATTTATTTATTTATTATCTTTATGCACAAAACAAGCATCATCGGAGACGTTATAAATACATATTACACTGTAAATATATATACATATATGTATATATATACATACATACATGCATACTATATATTTTATAGACAGTAATAATATAATTACATAGGTATACTACTTAAAATTATACATATTTTGCTAATTGATGTCATGATCACGATACCTCTGCCAACCTCTTCAAAAGCAACTCCCGAACCTTTTGCTTGAACGCCCAACGATTCGACACCATCCTAACATCGAGGTTCTTTATAATATTAGTGTAGATTATGTGTAGTTACACCTGTCACATTTAACTTACATCAAACCTTCTTCTTTCATTACAGGCTGGGCAGACAAGGAGGTCTACTCTGGAATAACCTCCTCGTGTTTGCAGCCGCCATTCTTGAAGGGACGGCCAAAATTGCGAATTCTGCTGAGATGCTTATTTTGGGCAGGTTAGTGAATACTGATTTTGTTTCAAGGTCTCTGTTCTTTGAAGTTGTCTTCAAGGACTAAGTGAATAGTGTTTATGGGTAGGCTGCTCCATCGTAGATCGCATCTTTGCTTACCATCAGGCGAGGTAGTGGCCATACTCATCCGGCCCATAATCAATACATCAATCACTCAATACACACAGGGTGTAAAAAGACACTTAACGAAGCCGAAAGCCACGTATTCTACCCATTATTTGGATCATTTTTTTCTTTAAGACCATAGCTGGGACTCCACGCGTTCTCGAGATATTGAAGGTCAAAGATGCATTTATAAATTTTTTTGCGCAATCGAATTCTATGTATTATTACAAAACTATTTTCCATACAAACATTACCTGAATTTTCGATTTTTTTTAAATAAATTACGCATTTGAAGTTACGAACAGTAATTTACGTAGGAAATAAATGAATGCAGACCCGCACAAAAAACATCGTGCATCTCAGTAGGATTTTTATTTTACAGAACTGTTTTGTTGTTGCGAAGTAAAACGTCGACCTACGTACTTATCACAGCGTTTTAATGCTAAGCTGTGAACCTTCGCACACAATGACACGAAGCCCGTTTGCTTTACATTTCGCGCAATAAAATTATATTTTTTTTGATACCTAAAAATAAAAGTCGTTTCCCAGTGATAATTTTAGCGTAAATCTACTTAGTTAGAACTGCAGTATGCGTAGTTAACGGCTTCGTTAAGTGTCTTTTTACACCCTGTATAATAAAACTGTAAAAGATCGGTGACTTTTTTTAACTTGCGACCTTTATATACGCAATAGAACCCAAAACAATGATTTTTAGAGTTTGGTCTGTACGTTTCATCATCATCATCAGCCTACAAGTGCTCACTGCTGAGCAAAGGCCTCTTCTCCAACGGAGAAGGTTAGAGCATAAATCACCACGCTTGCTAAATAATCATAGAAAGTACATACAACTCGGAAAAAGTCATATTGGTACTTGCCAGGTTTCGAACACACACCCTCTTGCATGAAAAGCGGGCTCCTTAACCTCGCCTGGAGGTTCACAATGACTGTACGTTTGGTTAGAGCTAATATCAAAAACGAATAATGTAAAAAAAGTATTGAAATTTGAGTTTTTTTATGTAAAAGGTCGGCAAACGAGCAGACGGATTACCTGATGGTAAGCAATCAGCGCCGCCCATGGACACCCGCAACGGAGGAGTTACGAGTGCGTTGCCGACCTTTTAGGGATTAAGGATTTGGAAATTTAAGGATTGAGGCGGGGAAGGATTGGGCTTCCGGTAACCTCACTCACACGGCGAAACACAACACTGTGGTTGTTTCACGCCGGTTTTCTGTGAGGCCGTGGTATCACTCCGGTCGAGCCGACCCATTCGTGCCGAAGCATGGCTCTCCCACACTTGAAAGTGGTCGTTGGAAAATACTTTTCTTACATTCAAATATACTTCAAACGACACATCACCTACCAAGACTAATACAGTTAAGAAACCCGATCTTAATAGGCATCTTATTACAAAACTTGTACATTCAATGTGGTATTGTTTCAGGCTTCTGATCGGAGTGAACAGCGGTCTCAATGCCGGTTTGGCTCCGCTGTATTTGGCTGAAATATCGCCCGTGTCACTCAGGGGATCTGTAAGTATTAAAATATTAACCGCCGTATTTTCTTGCTAGCTTTACCTATCTACAATGATATGTGATGATGTTTTCCTACACCGTCATCGAAAGTACATGTTACTCGGTAAAAGTCAGATTGGTACTTAGGCAGCCCCTAACCTCCAGGACACAGGAGAAAATCCTAATGTATGGCAACGTTTTTTTCTGAAAGAAAAAAAAGAAAATGTGGTAAATTTTATCTCTTTTTCTTTTCAGATAGGAACAGTCTACCAGTTGGTGATAACGATCACCATTCTTCTATCACAAGTCCTAGGTTTGGAGGCGGTGCTAGGAACACCAAATGGCTGGCCGTATCTCCTAGCCTTGACGGCTATACCAGCAGTCATTCAAGTAATCACATTACCATTATGCCCTGAATCTCCGAAGTATTTACTACTGAATAAAGGTCAAGAACTACACGCGCAAAGAGGTTAGTTACAAATGAGAATTTATTAATACTACTATACTCGGAATTTTAATTCCATTCCAGATTTGACAATTTCAGTGTTGCAACGTTATGACACATAATAAATAGTGACGTTGCTAAATTATTCGATGTGGAAATCGAATATTTCTGAATCGATTCCTCTCGTTTATAAATTTAATCTCATAAACTAAGTTTATCAGGAAATAAAATATTTCTGAACCGATAATTTAGTTTTGACAATGAATTAACGATGTGAGACTTTTCTTTTGTAATTGTGTGTGAAATTAATAAAAAATGTAATCATGAAGGAACATGACAAATAAAAACAATTTTTTATTAATTGTCGCTTACTTTCTGTAACATTTATTATGAATTGTGCCTGTGATTGTTATTGTCAATTAACATATCTAGCTTACTCATTTTTTCCTCTTCTTTGACAACATGGGATACGCTTTTAGACCATTCGGTAGCCGTAATTTTTTGAATATCTTGCTGAAACTGATTCACTGATTGTTTATCGATTTTTGTGTTCATCACTACACTGTCATATGTGGTATCATTATTTCACAAAATGACAGTAGGTCATGTCAAATCAGGAATCGAATTAAAATTCTGACTATAATTGTAATCGTCATGGTGGCCCAGAGTTTAGACGACCGCTTCTCATGCATAAGGGTTCGAATCCTAGCAAGTACCAATGTGACTTTTTCCGAGTCACGTTATGTACTTTCTACAAATATTTAGACAACCCGGGGAAGGAAAACATCGTGTGGAAACCTGGACTTATAATAATTGCTAATGATGATTAATGCTCAAACCTTCTCCGTGTAAGAAGAGGCCTTTGCTCAGCAGTGGGCACTTAAAGTCTGATGATGCTGATGAATTGACTGCACGGTTGGCGCGGTGGCTGAGGGGGTCGCGGGTTCGATTTCCGCACGGAACAACTCTAAGTGTGATCCACAAATTGTTGTTCCGGGTCTGGGTGTGTGTGTGGGTGTTAAATTGTAGGAATGTTTGTAAACGCACACATGAGAAAATACTAGTGTTGGGATTTTTTTTCTAAAAACAAATGTACTTGGTATACCTAAACGAAAAAGTTTGTAAGTATGGATAGATGGATGAATGTTTGTTACTCTTTCACGACTAAAACTATTAAATGTATCCGATTCAAATGCGAATAATCAGGCGTAAAAAGTTTTTCAAAAAAAGTGCCGGTCGAATAGACCAAGTATGGCGGTGAAAAGGTTAAATCTCCAAAAAAAAAATTAAATACGTTTCAAAGACGATCTTTACAAAATGACGGGGTTACAAAAATGACCAAGTGAATCGGTCAGGTTGAAAAAAAAGGGGTCAACCGGACCGTACTAGTCGTCTCATCCTCTTAGGTAACGATTATCCCGAACCAGGTTATACCGAACTCTGTTTTGCCGAATTATTACTCTCCTTGCGTCGAGTACATCTGAGAGGTCGACCAATTTAGACCAGCTTGGTGGGAACTGGGCGCCCTTGAGAGATGGGACCCCCGACAGACAATCATAATACCAACTAAACATGCTTATTAGCAAAAAAACTTTAATAGCGTGATGTAGGAAGATTGATTCTTGAATATCTCTTGACATTTCAGTGTTGCTTATTTAAAAATAATTGCTATTTTTTTGTGACTAGGCATTTATAAATTTAATATTAATAAAATTTACATACGTAGAAGGTAAATACATAAATAGATAAATAATATTTAAAATTAAATATGAAAACAGAAAAATCAGGTAATTGTTTTTATTTGTATTTATATCAAGTTGATGAGTTTGTTTGAACGCTCACATCTCTGGAACAATTGGATCGATAATGAAAAAATATTTTTAAAAAGTAATAAAAGCAGATTTCAAAGACATTTCAAATTAAAAGAATATGTAAAAAAAAATTAAACAAATTTAACAAAAAAGGAATTTTAAGAAAGAAAGAAAGAAAGAAAACATTTATTTCTGCGCAAGCGCACACACATAGAAATCAAAAATACAAAAAAAGAAGAAAAATACTATACCAATTATCTAAACTAAATGATGCAATAATTTAACTGTTAACTTAAATAAAATTATTAACATCGATCACTAATAATATAAGTGATCGATGTTATCAGCTTATAAGTACCCACTGCTAAACAAATCCTTAAAGCCACTTACACGGACGGAAGACGGATTTACGATTTCAAACTTATATCTATTTTGCCAATTCTTTTTTTTGTTGTGTTCGTTATAGTTTAGAGAAGGTTTTAGCAACGAAACATTTCGAAAAATGAAGGGGAATTTCGGTTTCACCCGCTGCTCGGCTCCATTTAATCGTAGCGTGATGTTTTATAGCCAATAGCACTCAGGAACATTGTAGCTATCTATCAGTGAAAGAATTTTGGCAATCCGACCAGCGGTTCCAAAGATACAAACTTACAAATTTTACCTCTTTATAATATTAGTGTAGACCTGCGTGGTGTAGACCACGGTGTAGGCAATCTTTTCGTTGCCGGGACCGATCGCTAACAAAACTAATGACTGACATTGGGGTAGTCAGATACTCGTGCGAAGCAAGGGCGGTCCGCTAGTTTAGAAATAAGTCAGGTTACCTCACGATGCTTGCCTTCACAGTTTAGACAGTGGTGTCTAAATACACTACAATATGCTGGGGCCACATTAACGGGAAATGCCAATAATACGGTAGTTTCCAACTAGTCAAATTCAATACTTTTATCCAAATGTCAAAAACTATGCTTTTCTATGAAATACTGAGTTATGACGTCATAGTATTTTTGCGTCAAATACCGTACTTACTTCTTAAAAATTTTCTAAAAAATATCTAAAATTTAGTGTATCGATCGATCGATGAATAAAAGTATACCTAGTTATTTTTAAATTTTATATTGTATTGAAACGTCGAATTAATTTATTTTTATCCTAGGAAACTACCCAATTATCTGGATAATTGATGATATTAAACAATGAAAAATATACCTTAAATCATTTGTTTAGTGATCAAATTGCGCCTACGAATAACGTCCCTTATCGCAATAATGAATGGCATTTCCCGTCCTTGTGGCCCAAGCATTAAAAAGTGCATGTAACTCGATATAAGGCACATACATTACTTGTCAGTTACAGACCCCGCCTCGTGAGGTGAGAAAGCGGGCGCCTTATTGTTATGACTTGTTGAGAACATAGAACTCAACAAATTTAGACTTTTGTGTAATTTATCATCATCATCATCAGCCCTATAAGTGCCCACTGCTGAGCAAAGGCCTATTCTCACACGGAGAAAGTTTGAGCATTAATCACCACGCTTGCTCAATGCGGGTTTGCGATTTCAAACTTATAATTAGAAATTATAAGTCCAGGTTTCCTCACGATATTTACCTTCACCGTATGTCAGTGTTGTCTAAATAATCATAGAAAGTACATATAACTCGGAAAAAGTCACATTGGTACTAGCCAGGTTTCGAACCCACACCCTCATGCATGAGAAGCGGGCTCCACCGAGCCACCACGACATTTTTTTTCTTATTTTTGTGCAATTAAGGTCTGATTTTTCAATAGTCAAATAAATGTTATGTGAGGAATAAAATTGTTGCTGTCACTGTCTTATACAAACGTTCTGACGCGACAGCATCATAATTATTCCCCAGGTAACTTTTATTTAACCATTGAAAAATCATCATCAGCTCTAACCGTATTAATGTAACGTTGTAGTGGCCCGGAGAAATTGAAACTACCTATAATTGGCTACTTTGTTATTCTTGTTTTAAAAAGGTTTAGATGAGGAATTGCAAATGCGATTTTTTTTGTTAAAAAAAACGTTGCCCCACTTTAGGATTTTCTCCTGTGTTGTGGGTGCGTTTACAAACATACAATGTCACATACACATGACACCCAGACCTGAAACAACAATTTGTGGATCACACAAAGTGTTGTTCCGTGCGGAAATCGAACCCGCGACACGTTGCACGGCAGCCAGTTGCCCAGCCACCGCACCAACCGTGTAGTCAAAGTCGATTGCTGACCTAGACGACTCGAATTGGATTCCCTTTTCTGTAAAGCGTTGTTACATATACATATAAATTACATACAAACCATGTGCTTATTTTTATATCAATTGTTTCAGCTCTAAACTGGCTAAGAGGGGATGTCGCCGTTCACGGAGAAATCGAAGAAATGCATCAGGTTGGTATTTAATAAACTTAACAATAAGGCACCGCGGCCTCGGTCTAAAGCAGGAGAAGGAACGGTGTTGTTTTTAGTCAGTAAGAGTCTGACAATCCCTCCCGCCTCACCCTAGGTGGGAGAAGCCATTTGATGATTTTCCCCTTTTGAAAAAAAGGTACTAAAAATCACATTTTTATTTTATAGCATTTTTTTCTGTAAAATAACTACCGTTAGACATATTTTTATTGAAAACTCGTCAAGCGCGGTTTTACCCGCTGCTTGACTCCTATTGGTCTAAGAGTGATGTTTCAGTGAAAGAATTTTAGATATCCGAGGTAAAAGTTATGTAAGTTTGTATGAAAGGGGTAACATTTGGAACGGCTAGTCAAATTTCCAAAATTATTTCACTGGTCTAAACTTCCAAACTTATATTATAAATGCGAAAGTAACTCTGTATGTCTGTCTTTTCTTCACGCCTAAACTACTAAACCGATTTCTATGTAATTACGTACAGAAAAAGTTTGGAACTCGAGAAAGGACTTAGGATAGCTTTTATACCAAAAATCTGCATGAAGACACTATTCCATGCGAAGGGAGTCGCAGGCAAAAGCTAGTAGATAGATAAATTAATACTTGATTTGCGTATTTAGTCGAGCTATCGCATTAACACTGTTTTAAAAATCTTAGGATAATTTTTTTTTGTACGGTAGCTAAAGCTAAGCTAAGTAATCTTTCAGGAAGCGGAGAAGAACAAAATTAGCAGGAAGGTGACGCTGAGAGAATTATTCGCGAACCGTCAACTTCGCCAGCCGCTTATAATCGCCATGATGATGATGATAGCCCAGCAATTCTCGGGGATTAACGCTGTTATATTCTTCTCAACGGATATCTTCACTAGAGTGCAACTCGGTCAGACTGAATCGCAGTATGCTACGCTTGGTAAGTTCAGTTTTATGTACATAGATTTTTTTATTTAATAGGTCGGCAAGCGAATAGACGGATTACCTGATGGTAAAGTAAGGTCGGCAACGTAATCGTAACTCCTTTAATGTTGCGGGTGTTCAACTTTCACGGATACTGATACGGATTTCTGTTTTCCCTTGGATATCCGCTGAAACGGTTCAGTTATTCGGAACACTAGTGCGAAGCAGAGCCAGGCTATTAGTACTAACACATAACACCTTATCAATATTTCGGTTTGTCTCGTATGATTTCGGTTCTGCTCGTATGATTTCGGTTCAGCTCGTATTATTTTGGTTCGGTTCATATGGCTTCGGTTCTGCTCGTATGATTTCGGTTCGGCTCGTATGATTTCAGTTCGTCTCGTATAATTTCGGTTTGTCTCGTTTGGTTTCGGTTTAGCTCGTATGATACGACGTATCAGCGAAGTTTCTTCCGACACAAGTATCTTTAGGCTACTCCTTGAGAAGCCCTGGCAAAATAATTGTTAATAAACACATCCCCAAAACGCCGGCAACGCACTCGTGACTCCTTTGGTGTTGTGGGTGTCCATGAGCGGCTCCGATTGCTTACCATAAATACGTCAGCTCGTTTGCCGACCTATCCCATGAAAAAAATATTTTCTTTTATTTATATCTCGGAAAAAGTCACATATTGGTACTCGGCAGGTTTCGATCCCTCCGAGGCTTATCGGTACACGACGTTGTTAGTACCTACTTTACCTAATAGTATTGTTTCTGTTTCAGGCATGGGTGCTATGAATGTTGTGATGACTATCATCAGTCTTCTTCTCGTGGAGATAGCTGGACGCAAGACCTTACTGCTAATTGGATTCGGAGGCATGTTCCTGTGTTCCGTCGGTCTGTGCGTCGCGTATTTATATGTGAGTATACTTATTCAGTAGTTTCCAACCAAATATAGCGCGTTGTGTTCCGCGCGCGCCTCAAAGAGCCAATAGACCACCACAGACAGGGCCCTATAGGGCTGATGTTCAGCCGGGGTTGCGGGGTAAGCGCAATGAGGTACCGCGACCTCGGAACAGAGCAGAAGAAGGAACAGGGGGATTTTTGGTCAGTAAGAGTCTGACACTCCCTCCCGCCAAATGGTCACTTTGTTTAGGTCATAAAGTTAAGATAAATAACAGCGTCCACTAATCATCAGCTATGCTATTCTAAAAAGTAAATTTGCAAAATCACTTCTGAATCCGCGGTGAAATCATATTTATGTAAAGTTTCGTATTCTCAAATGGAGTGAAATCTACATTGGCGCCACCATGTGAATAACGAAGTGAAAGGAACTAAAACAAGTGAGTATTTTAACGTTTGTGTACAGGCGAAATGAGAAGCGAAGTGGTGGGTGATTTTCGAGGTGAGATTTACCATTTACAAATTAGCAATGCAGGTCACCTGGTAGCTGATATTGATCCTAGCATAAAATCAAATTAATATCATCAGTCTATAATAAGTGCCCACTGCTGACCAAAAGGCCTCTTCTCACACGGAGAAGGTTTTTCAGTAATCAATGCTTGCTCAATGCGGGTTGGCGATTTCAAACTTATAATAGCAATTATGCAGAAGTCTAGTCCTTGAGGTTAACTTCTTTTTCGTACTTTTTGCCTAAACATTAGTGTTGCACTGTTCTCACATATCAGAACCGACTAAATGATGTAACAAAGAAATGTATTGTAAAACTGATTAAAAAAGAGTAACCATGGAGTTTCTTGCTCGTTCTTCTCCATAGGAATCTACACTTTGAAACGAGCAAATAGCTTCACTAGATGACAGACGGACAGACTGACACGCTTAATTTTAAAGCTCTTGAAATCCTTCTTTCTTTTTTTTTGCTTGACGTTCAAATATACTGAGGTCTAATTGAAATAAATGATTTTAACTTTGACTTGACCTAGAAACACATTTGTACCTACTCGCCAGGTTTTGAGCCCGCACCTCAAGGCCATAACGAAATAAGATAAAGTATAAAACATAGGTAGGTATAATTTATTGGCGCCGTCCATGGACATCCGCAAAACGAAAGGAGTTACAAGTGCGTTGCCAGCCTTTTCAGGATAAAGGTATATAAGTATAAAGATTGGAGGAGAGATTGGGCCTCAGGTAACGTCACTCACGTGAAATAAAGTGTAGGTATGCTATGCTGGTTGCAAACTGACACTTGCGTGCCTGCCTCTTCAGAACGGGTCCACTTAAACTGGTGTGGTTCTTTCATCAAAAGACCTCTACAGAATGAACTTGCACGGTTCTCTCACATTATGTTATTTTTACATTGTCTGGACTTGTAAAGAGACTGACCTCTGAGTTTGTTTCGGCATTTCTTCTCAGAGTAGTCAGATAGGAAATGCCGGCTGCATCTAGTTTTTCACATATAAATTGACGTGTAAAAGAGCCGTTTTATGGCCTATTTGCAAAAATAAATTCATTGTTTCATTGTTATGTCATAATATGTCAATTTATTTTGTTCCAGTCCATATTACCGTGGGTATCATACGTGTGCATCGCTTTGGTGATACTCTTTGTCGTTATGTTTGCTGTCGGCCCTGGCTCCATACCCTGGTTCTTGGTCACTGGTGAGTAATTATTTTTAAGGCATAGGTCGGTAATCGAACAGACGGATTACCTGATGGTAACTAGCCACACTTTTTCATGTTTGTCCCTTTTTCACTCGCGATTATTGCATCATGCCATCCCACTTTGACGTGTATCATACGATTTATTCATGTGTGCAACAGTGTACCGTTTTTGAAAATCGAATGTTGTTTATGTAAGCTATCTATACCATTTTACTTATAATATCATTGTACAAGAAGACATTTGCAATGTCCTATCGTCATCCCATCAAGCAACATCCCTATATCACAAAAATAACTAAACAATATATATTTTATAATAATTATTATTATTTTCAACAGAATTATTCAATCAATCTTCGCGACCTGCAGCGACATCTGTGGCGGTTACAGTCAACTGGACGGCCAACTTTATCGTCGGTCTTAGTTTTCTACAACTTTCCGTAAGTATATATCTTTTTTATATATAAAAATGGATCGCAAAATGTGTTGGTAAGCGCATAACTCAATAACGCCTGGACCAATTTTGCTAATTCTTTTTTTGTTATGTTTGTTATTGTCAGGAGAAGTTTCTTATCAAAGAAAATATTAGAAAAGTAGAGGGAAAGATTAGGAAAAAGTGAGCCTTTCATAGCGAGATAGTTGGACCCGTGCGTAGCGGGGGCCGGCCGATAGTATCATTATATATTTAAAATAATTTTCTCCTCGACTAATGGTCGTAGCATGATCTAATTAGTGAAGACAATATAATTTAAAAACATGAATGTAAAACTTTTTTTATGTGATAGGACGGCAAAATGAACAGATGGATTACCTGATGGTAAGCAATCGGCGCCGCAACATCAGAGGAGTAACGACTGATACGCGTTCATTGCCGACCATTTGGGGATTAGTTTCGGAGATTTAGGTATTGGGGGAGGGTTAGAAGGATTGAGCCTCCGGTAACCTCGAAACACCACGCAGTGGTTGTTTCACGCCGATTATATCAATCCGGTCGAGCCCACCCATTCGTGCCGAAGCATAGCTCTTCCACACATAGTTTAGGTTTTATCTAAGTCACACCTATATAATATTTTACTTGATCAAAAACTTCTTACAATGTTTTTTCTGTCCACAGGCAATCCTGGGAGCGAATGTTTTCATTATATTCGCGATTCTACAACTAATATTCATATTTTTCATATATTGTAAAGTCCCAGAAACAAAGAATAAGACTGTTGAAGAAATCACGGCGATGTTCCGACAACAGATTTAATTTTCGAGCTGAGCCGAATGTTTTCGAGATAACCCGAAAGTTTTCGAGCTTGAACCTTTATGTGATCGGGACGGTAGTTGAAATATTGTACGTTTTGATGAAATGAAAACTGAAAATTGGTTGTAAAGTGAAGAAAAGAAAACAATACTAGTTTTAAAGTATGTACTTATTTTAGATTTGATAATTATACCTACATGTAGTAGTTCTATGTGGGAATCGAACAAACACGTAAACGAGTGACTACACGGTTGGTGCAGTGGCTGGGTAACTGGTTACCGCGCAACGTGTCGCGGGATCGATACCCGCACCGAACAACTCTGTGTGATCCACAAATTGTTGTTCCGGGTCTGTGTATGTAAAATTGTATGTTTGTTAACGCATCCACGATACAGGAGAAAATCATAGTGTAGGACAAAAATAAACAATTGAAGTAGGTGATCGCCCAGCCACCGCGTCAACTATGCAGGAAATAAATCTGTATAATACATAGCGTGATGTTTTATAGCCTCGATTAATGGACTAAGTATCCAACATAAAAATTATTATTCAATTCGAACCAGGAGTTCCGTAGATTAATGCCCGATTTCTGAAAGGCTTGTCAACGCTAAAATTAACTAATCTCCTGTTAAATCTCTTGTTAAGTCATCTGATTGGTTGTTGATAATAATTCAGTCAACCAATCAGATGACTTGACAAGAGTTTAAATTGATTTTAACATTGATCGGGCTTTCGGAAACCGGGTGTTAGTCTATCAAGCAAACAAACTCTTCAGCCTTATAATATTGTTACGTGCCTGACGTCACGTTCCTGAATATGCGGGCTTGGGTTACGGGATTGGATGAAATGAAACACTAATACCGGTTTTCAGACTTTCTATTGCACTTAAGTTACAGCATCCACGGAGTTAAGTTATCGGCGTTCTTCTGCAGCAGAGTCCGGCCGACTGACACAACTTTGCCGTTCACGCTGATTTAACTCACTTAACTGACTGCACTTCACTATTTCACTGCACTTCACTATTTCACTCACTTTTCTTCTTTTCCACTTCTTCCTTTTCTTCCGAATCGCTTTAGACTTAGAACTCAACTGCCAGCGGTGAGCCGCAGTTCCGCTTATATACCCCTGGTTCAGGTTCTGGAACATTCAATTTCGTTATTCTTTTTGATCGTCATGACTCCAGAACCTTCCAATAATTTCGTTACTCATTTTTATTTATTCTCCTTCTCGCTCTTTAATTTTTCATTTCTTTCACACAAATAATTCCAGAAAGTTCCACAAAACTTCTATCAACTAAAAAACTTCATGTTTACGGCGGGACTCGAACTCGGGGTCTCTGTGGTGTAATCCACACGCCTTACCGATTACACCAACTCGTGTTGACAATTCACGACGAAATTTACAATCTCTAGGCAACGTTTGACAACCATCCATTGACGTCATGATGTCAAAGAGTTTGAACCACTTTTCCGTCACACTGCCCCCCTCTTAGATTCGCTCGTCCCGAGCATCGTTGCTGCCGTAATACCTCGCCAACCTGTCTATATGGACAACTTTCAAAGGGCTCCTTGAAGACTTCCGAATTCTGTAAGTAATGTCATTGATCTTCGTGACTATCTCATAAGGGCCTTCCCAACTCGGTTGCAGCTTCGGAGATTTTCCCTTCCTTCTGACTGGATTATGAAGCCAGACCAATGACCCCTCTTCAAAACCAACAGAATTGGCTCGTCGATCATAGCGCGTTTTTGCGCGATCACTAGCTTGAAGACCGGCCTCCCTGATCTGCTCGTAAATGTCCAACATTTTTGCCCTTAACTCGCTTATGTAATCGCTAAATTCGGTGCGAGAGTCGCCAGGTGGACAGCCCGATACAAGATCTGCCGGTAATCTCAATTCCCTTCCAAAATTTGCAAATGCAGGCGTCTTTGCGGTACTTTCATGTACAGCAGTCCGATAGACAAGCAAGAAGAGAGGTATGTAAGTGTCCCAATCTCTCTGATGGCTGTCAACCACCTTTGCTAAGTGTCGTTCCAATGTTTGGTTGAAACGTTCGACCATTCCATCTGACTGTGGATGATAAGGAGTCGGTCGAGTCTTATGGATTCCCAAAAGTTTACAAGTTTCCTGAAAAACTTGGGACTCAAAGTTCCGTCCTTGATCACTGTGCATCTCCAAGGGCACTCCGAATCGGGTGAATACCTCGTTTACCAACTTCGTGGCTACAGTTACTGCCTCTTGATTCGGTATGGCAAAGACCTCCGGCCATTTTGTAAAATAATCCATAACCACTAAAACGTAGCGATTGCCCGAATCAGTGATTGGAAATGGTCCAGCGATGTCTAAGGCTATTCTCTCCCAAGGCATACCAACATTGTAGATTTTCATCGCCCCTCTGCTTCTTGTTTGTGGACCCTTGACAGCTGCACAACTAGTGCATTTCCGGCACCAATCTTCGACGTCATATTTGCAATGCAACCAATAAAACCTCTCCTTGATCTTCACCAAAGTCCTCCTAATTCCCAAATGTCCTCCAGAAGATCCATCATGGAACGCTTTTAATACATCCCTTATTTTTGAACGAGGCACCACCAATTGCAAATGCTCGTCCTTGCCGTTTGTTGATTCCCATTTCCTGCACAGAAGTCCGTTATGCAGCGTAAGGCTTTTCCACTGTGCCCATAAACCTTTCGTTACCGCGCTATATTGGGCGACGTCACTCCAACTTGGCTTGTTACCACTTCGTAGCCACTCCAGTATTGGTTTGATATCCGCATCTTTTTCCTGTTCTAATTTCATCGCATCATCTCCCATGCCTCGTCAACAGTATCAGTCCTTATCACCTTAAGAAAAGCATTTTCCTTCTTGGCACAATGCTTGCAATCTTCCACGCATGGGCGTCTCGATAATGCATCTGCGTTGCCATGAATTCTTCCGCCGCGATGTTCGATTTCAAAGTCAAATTCCTGAAGTTGTTCCAACCATCTGGCTACTTGGCCTTCAGGATCCTTAAACTGAAGCAGCCATTTCAAAGCAGCGTGATCAGTTCTGATTAAAAATTTCCGTCCCAGTAAATACTTCTTGAAATGGTGCAGAGTTTTGACTACGGCCAGTAATTCCCTCCTGGTCACGCAATAATTCCTCTCCGGCTTGGATAGTGACTTGCTGAAGTAAGCAATAACCTTCTCCTGCTCACCATCGCGTTGTGAAAGGACACCTCCTATTCCGATATTACTGGCGTCCGTGTCAACTACGAATATTCCTTTCGCGCTGGGGTATCCGAGAATTGGCGTTTTACAAAGCCGTTCTTTTAGTTCGCGAAAGGCTTGCTCACAATCCTCGTCCCATATAAAGGCACGTTTCTCCTCTGTCAATCGATGCAATGGCTTGGCAATGTCCGAGAATCCTTTCACAAACCGCCGATAATACGAGCATAATCCAAGAAATGCCCGAACTTGCGTTTTGTCTTTAGGTGTTGGCCATTCCTTAACAGCGGCAGTCTTGGCTGGATCAGTCTCAATTCCTCTCTCAGAAATAACATGTCCTAGATAATTCACTTCGCGCTTAAAGAAAGAGCATTTCTTTGGACTCAACTTTAAATTTGCTCCACGCAGCTTTTCGAGTACCCTTTCCAATTTTCTTAGATGATCGTCAAAATCCCGTCCAACGATGATGATGTCATCGAGGTAAACTAGGCAGGTTTCGCCCAGCAGTCCCGCCAGCACCTGTTCCATCAAACGCTCAAAGGTTGCCGGTGCATTGCATAATCCAAATGGCATCACCTTAAATTGCCAGAGTCCCTTCCCAGTTGAGAATGCGGTCTTTTCCTTGTCCTTGGGATCCAAATCCACCTGCCAATAGCCGCTTTTCAGATCGAGCGTTGAAAACCATTTCATGCCACTCAGTGTGTCAAGTGTGTCATCGATTCTTGGTAACGGGTAGCTATCCTTCTTGGTTACATCATTCAATCGTCGATAGTCTACGCAAAACCTCGTTGAACCATCTTTCTTCTTGACAAGCACGACAGGTGAACACCAAGGGCTAGAAGAGGGCTCTATCACGTCATTTTTCCTCATATCGTCAATCATTTGTTCAACCTCTTTCTCACGAGCGAATGGTATACGTCTGGGCCTTTGACGAATTGGCATTGTATCACCTGTATTTATTTTATGCTTCACCAAACCAGTTCGGCCAATATCACCATCGCTTCTTGAAAACACATCAGAGAATCGAAGGAGTAAATTTCTAGCTTTCATAGTCTCCACTTTTGTCAGACTTTTGTTTTCGTCTAAGATTTTCGTTACAAAGTCTATTCCCGTACTGTCCTTCTTCACAAGATTCTCCGAGCATTTTCTTATCCAGGCCACTTCTTCCAAAACGCCCACAGGCTCTCCTTCTTCAATCGTAATTTTTGAATCACTGAAGTTGAATACCGGAATGCGGTTGACATCAGATGACCCCACGACAGTCCTTGCCGGTAGCCATGAGTTTACGTGTTCCGATTTATCAATCACAGCGCACCTTCGAGGTAAACTTCCTCCACTCCTCCTAGGTAATGCGATTGGTACGAGAGTCTGTGATTTTGGTTCAAGAACAGTTCTTTTTAAACAGCAAACTTTTCCCAGGGTTCCACCCTTCATCGGAATTTCCTCAGTTCCACATAGTAATACTCCAGATTTTAAGTCGATGTTACACTGGTGCCCTTGCAGGAAGTCAAGTCCCAGGATGCAGTCATCCAGAATTTTGGCCACAATAACCTCATGTCGATAAACACGTTCCCCAATTTTGATTGTTACGTGCAGTTTTCCACTTATCGGTATCCACTGGCCGGTAGCTGATTTCATTCGTAGGCCAACAATTGGTTTAACGTGTTTCCTGATGTTTTGCCCGAGCAGCCGAACATTTATCACCGTCCTTGAAGCTCCAGTATCTAATGTTAGCTGACTGTTTTTCCCATTTACTTGACCGTCTATCACCAGAGTATTTCCATCGTTAGTTTGCTTGATGTAGATTGTTGGGGTTATTCCACTATCGGCCAGCGCCCACCCCGCAGCCCTGGCTGGAATTAGTTTCCCTGCTGGTCAGAAGTTGAGACCGCCGCGTCCTGGCGGTTCACCTTCTTCGGGCAGTTGCTCCGCATGTGCCCACGCTCTCCGCATCCATAGCACATGAAGTTCCGACGGCGTGGAGGTACCTGCTCCGTAGTCGTCATTTCCCGCAGACATAAGGTACGGGAGTTACCACGCACAGCTTCCACTTCCAATGCATGGGCCAGAGCTTCTTTCATGTTCTTGTGATGGCCCAGATGAACAGCAGCTCGTACTTCGGGGTCCCGAATACCGTCAATGAACGCTTGGAGAAGCGTGCCTTCAATCATTGACGGAGTCGACCGGAAAGCTCGACGCACAAGTTTCTCAATTTCCACGGACCATTGCTGTAGGCTCTCATTATCACGCTGAGTACGCTCTTTTAATTGCGCTCTGTACACGTGCTCGAGGTGGCTGTCTCCAAAACGTGCCTCAAGTGCGTCGAGGAGGGCACTTAAGCTAAGATCCCCACTTGCGCCGATAGCTTCCAGCACTGAGAGCGCTTGATCACGGAGGGCCAGGGTGAGGGCTGACTGTGCTTCCTTCTGAGTCCAACCATAAGCCTCCATAAGTGTCTCAAACTGTAGCTTGAACGCGTTCCAGGATGTTGTTCCGTCGTAATGGGGAATCTTGAGCCCTTTCGTTGCGCTTGAGGCCACATTTGGGGCGTCAAAAACGGCTGCAAGACGGCTTCGGCTCTTCAAAGGGCTTGGGCTTGTCACTTCCTGCTTGATTTTGGAGATCTCTTCTTTCACTCTCTCCTCTATCGCCATGACGCGATGTTCCAACTTGCCTAACCCTTCCTCCACTTCTTGTACCCGTTCGACAGCCTTTTGCAGTCCCTTCGTGAAATCCTTATGCATCTCTTCCAAGCGACGCGCTTGCTCCTCTTGGCGGCGAGCTTGATCCTCTTGGCGACGAGCTTGATCTTCTTTCAGCTCCCGTAGCTGTTCCGCCTGACAGCGTGCTTGCTCTTCTTGGCGGCGCGCTTGCTCTTCTTGGCGGCGCGCTTGCTCTTCTTGGCGGCGTGCTTGCTCTTCTTGGCGGCGCGCTTGCTCTTCTTTCAGCTCCCGCAGCTGTTCTGCCTGACAGCGCGCTTGCTCTTCTTGGCGGCGCGCTTGCTCTTCTTGGCGGCGCGCTTGCTCTTCTTGGCGGCGCGCTTGCTCTGCCATCATTTGCTGCAGCTGTAGCAGAAGATCCACCTGCACAGGCTTGGCTTCTGCATCGCTGGTTTGAGCTGCAGCACCCTCTTCCCTCACACGCTGCGCTTCTGACATTGCACGGGTACTCACTCCTCTTACGTCCTGCGGCACTAGCGGCATTTTTCTCCAATCCCACTTCTGACACCAAATGTTACGTGCCTGACGTCACGTTCCTGAATATGCGGGCTTGGGTTACGGGATTGGATGAAATGAAACACTAATACCGGTTTTCAGACTTTCTATTGCACTTAAGTTACAGCATCCACGGAGTTAAGTTATCGGCGTTCTTCTGCAGCAGAGTCCGGCCGACTGACACAACTTTGCCGTTCACGCTGATTTAACTCACTTAACTGACTGCACTTCACTATTTCACTGCACTTCACTATTTCACTCACTTTTCTTCTTTTCCACTTCTTCCTTTTCTTCCGAATCGCTTTAGACTTAGAACTCAACTGCCAGCGGTGAGCCGCAGTTCCGCTTATATACCCCTGGTTCAGGTTCTGGAACATTCAATTTCGTTATTCTTTTTGATCGTCATGACTCCAGAACCTTCCAATAATTTCGTTACTCATTTTTATTTATTCTCCTTCTCGCTCTTTAATTTTTCATTTCTTTCACACAAATAATTCCAGAAAGTTCCACAAAACTTCTATCAACTAAAAAACTTCATGTTTACGGCGGGACTCGAACTCGGGGTCTCTGTGGTGTAATCCACACGCCTTACCGATTACACCAACTCGTGTTGACAATTCACGACGAAATTTACAATCTCTAGGCAACGTTTGACAACCATCCATTGACGTCATGATGTCAAAGAGTTTGAACCACTTTTCCGTCACAATATTAGTTTATCGAACAACGAACATATGTCAAACTTTTAAAGTTTTGTATGTCTTCCCTATATTAATAGATAAGTTACGTTTTTATGTACTTAAGTAAATAGGTATACTATATTTAAGAAAACTCTAAATCTGAATTTAATTATTAAAATATTTATTTTTGAATACAAACCTTTTTGTACCTACTATATAGAAAGAAATATTGTTTAAAGAAAAAATAAAAGAAATACTCAAATCATGGCACATTTTGTTTTATTTCTACTATACTCGGAATTTTAATTCCATTCCAGATTTGACAATTACAGTGTTGCAACGTTATGACACGTATTAAATAGTGACGTTGCGAAATTATTCAATATGGAAATCGAATATTTCTGAATCGATTCCTCTCGTTTATAAATTTACTCTCGTAAACTAAGTTTATCAGGAAATAAAATATTTCTGACCCGAAAATTTAGCTTTGACAATTAATTAACGATCTGAGACTTTTCTTTTGTAATTGTGTGTGAACTTAATAAAAAATGTGATCATGAAGAAACATGACAAATAAAACAGACATTTTATAAATTGTCGCCGTCATCGCTATCGCTATCGCTATTACTTTCTGTAACATTTATTATGAATTGTGTCTGTGATATTTATTGTTAATTAACATATCTAGGTTACTAATTTATTTCTCTTCTTTCACTACATGGGATACACATTTAGACCATTCGGTAGCCGTAATTTTTTGAATGCCTTCCTGAAACTGATTCAGTGATTGTTTATCGATTTTTGTGTTCATCACTATACTGTTATATGTGGTATCATTATTTCACAAAATGACAATAGGTCATGTCAAATCAGGAATCGAATTAAAATTCTGACTATAGTGTAAAATCCGATAATATTGAGGTAAATAAAAAGAAAAAAATGTATTGTGTATAAGTGTAATACATTATCCATATGATTACCGAATTAAAATAAATAAAATTGACTTAATGTTCTATTATTATGTTTTGTTAGATTACTTTAAATATAAATACTTATGACTAGATGTTCCATAGAAATATACAATACAAGAAACAATAAAGTCACTATCTAACAGTCATAGAAGTCATCAATCGTCACTAAGCCCACCAACTGTCACAAAAATCACCAATAGTCACAAAAGTGGCCAACAGTCATAAAAGTAATCTTCTCCTTGCATCTGTTTCTTCAATGCTCAGGATCGTGAGATACAGTGTTCTGCAATGATATTTTATTAACACAAATATGTATGTTATACGCTCACAAAACGCACGAAAAATGTCTTCCACGCCAAGCGTCAAACACTCACATAGGTACCATTTTATTAATTGTACATATTACTACAAGTTAAAATTATAGAAAAAGGATAGTATAATAAATCCAACAAGAAAAACGAATTAGCTATTGTTATCAATTACGTACTCAATGTAAACAAATATTATTCTAAGAGAGACTAATTGCACTTGCATACAGTTGTATCCTTTTCGAGTCTTCACTTTTGCGAACTTATAACATACCTTTTTTTTTTTTTTTTTTTACTTGCAATAAACCAGTGCTTGACTGCGATCCCACCTGATGTTAAGCAGTGATGCAATCGTTGATGGTAAGGCGCACTAGTTTATTAAGAGCCTATTCACTCTAGCCTTGAAGACACCTAAGTTGTATTCGGACGGAAAGACTGCAGCCGGCAAACTGTTCCAATCCCTCGATGTACGCGGTATAAATGACGAGGCAAAACGCTTAGTCCGGGCCGCAGGTGTCTCAACAACGTATCAACAACGTATGGGTGGATATTCGCCGTACGCCGGGATGTCCGAAGGTGAAATTGGGATGGCGGAATCAAATCGTGCAATTCCTGGGCACACTCTCCAAAATGTATCCTGTAGAAAACCGCAAGGCTGGCTACTCTGCGCCTGTGCTCGAGACTTTGAATATTGGACCCAACCAAATCTGGATCTCCAATCAGCCTCATTGCACGCCTTTCCACCGAATATATCTGTTAATATACAATATCATTGGTGATCTGCTTATTACTCTCCGCCATCTATTTCTATATTCTCTATCTACTGCCGAGTAGAGAGCATCGTGTATTGTAGTGTTGAGAGTGGTGTCTTTCCTTTCACTTTGCGAGTGATCAGTAACTTTTCTAAGTTATCATTGTTCCTTCTGGCAAATTGTCCAGAAAACTCCCGAATCCTAAAAGTCACCGATCATCACAAAAGTCGCCAACTGTCAAAACTGTCCCCATCAGTAACAAAAGGTCGCTTAAAATTATAAAATTCACCAAACGCCAGTAAAGCTCTCAATTGTCACAAAATTCACTAATCGCCACAATAACACCAACTGTCACAAAGGTTACCAGTCGCCACAAAAGTCACCAACAGACAAAACTATCCCCATCAGTAACAAAAGGTCGCTTAAAATTATAAAATTCACCAAACGTCAGTGAAGCCACCAATTGTCACAAAATTCACCAGTGTCGAAAAATTGTCGCAAATCACAAATGATCGTAATAGTCACCAATAGCCACCAAATGTCGTTTGTGAAGATTGGTAAGTCACCAAGTCATTAAACGTCACAAAAATGCCAAAACAGTCACAAAAGTCAGCAATAGTCATAAAAGTCAGTCAATTGTGCAATAACGTGGCGGTCTTTCGGGCACTGTGCAGTCTGTGCACTCTTTTCCTGTGCGTGTACAGTGATGCACTTTGACGAAACGTGGATCCGCATAGTTCACACCAGAGCGGCCGAGCGCCAGAGTGAATAAGTTCGTGCTCGATCAAACTTTTCTTGTGCTGAAAATAAAATTACAAATTAAACTCATCATCAGCCTATAAGTGCCTACTGCTGAGCAAAGGCCTCTCTCAACCTTATAAGTCCAGGTTTCTTCACGATTCCCTTCACCGTATGTCAGTGGTGTCTAAATAATCATAGAAAGTGCATATAACTCGGAAAAGGTCACATTGGTACTTGCCAAGACCCATAGCCTCATGGATGAGAAACGGGCGCCTTAACCTCCGGACGACTACGACTATAAAAAACTAAACATTAAAATCAGATAATCTCTCTCTGAAGGATAGTATTCGAAACGATGTGATCCGGCAGAGAGCCAAAGTTATTGACTAGTCCGAAAGATTCGCTAACTGGGTCACATTCGAAGAACACGGTCGAAGAACCGATGACCGGTGGAGTAGACGTGTTTTAGAGTCAGTGGAGACCACGTCAAGGCAAACGTAGTGTAGGGCGCCCTCCAGCTAGGTGGACTGACGATATCCGCATAGTGGCTGACAATGGTTGGATGAGAAGAGCTGAACATCGAACTCAGTGGCGTGCAATTGGGGAGGCATAAGTCCAACAGTGGACGGAATCAGGCTGATGATGATGATGATGATGATGATGATGATGATGATGATGATGATGATGATGATGATGATGATGATGATGATGATGATGATGATGATGATGGTGGTGGTGGTGGTGGTGAAAGAAAGAAAAGAAAGAAAAACATTTATTTGAGACTCGCACAGAAAATAAATACAATTACATTTTATATATACAAAAAGAAAAAACAAACAAAAATAATAAACAGAACAACAACAAAAAATATTAAAATAAAATAAAAGACCTGTGCGAGGTCAAAAAGGCCACTATCTCAGCATATGCTGCGATAATTCACCAAATGCCTAGGTGGTGAATGCCTAGTCTTACTAAATTTATAGATCGTGGTGGAATAGTTAAGGCTCACAATTATTACGCACGAGGGTGCGGTTTCGAAACCTGGCAAGTATTAATGTGACTAATTTCTTAATGAACTAGACTTTCTAAGAATATTTAGACACCACAGACATACGTTGAAGGAAAACATGCTGAGGAAACCTGGACTTGTAATGTCTAATTACAACACGCTTTAAACAAACGTGGCGAATAAAACTCACAACTCCTTCGTCTTCTTTCCCTCTCTTTTTTTTGAGTGATAAGTCAGTAAACGAACCTAGGGATTACCTGGTGGTAAGCAATCGCCGCCGCCCATGGTCACTCGAAACACCAAAGGACTAACGAGTGCATTTCCAGCCTTTTGGTGATAAGGGTTGCGGATTGGGGAGGGATGGAGGGGGAGAGAGTATTAGGATTCCGTTAACATCACTTACACGGCGAAACACAACGCTGTGGTTGTTTCACGGCGGTTTTCTGTGAGGCCGTGGTATCACTCCGTTCGGCCGACCCATTCATGCCGAAGCCTGGCTCTCCTATACGCTCTATTTACTGGGAGAGTTGATGGTGGTGCTAAATAATTTTTACTGTAATTTTCCATAGAAAAAACTCACCGTGAACGCCTTCCCGCAAGTCTGGCACATTTTGTCTCGAACATTCTCCTTGATACCTTCGTGAGCGCGTTTTACGTGTCGCGTTATACAACGCCTAGTAGCTAGGGCCTGAAATTTTACAAAATTATTTTAACCAGTTATTTAGTATTTTCTTTTAATGTTCCTCTAAATAAATATTTGTGTAACACTGTTCTCACTTAATCGAACAAACTTGACAATGTACCAAAGAATCTGTATGTGAAACTGATTTAAAAAGAGTAACCATGGAGTTTCTTGCTCGTTCTTCTCCATCGGAATCTACACTTTTGAACGAGCAAATAGCTTCACTAAGAGGACTGACCGACAGACTGACACTTTTTGTCTTTAATTTTTGTTTGACATTCAAAAGTGCCTGTAAGGGTCTAATTGAAATAAATGATTTTGACTTTTGATTTTTGCATTCGTTTGGCCGCTATCACGCCTGGTGGAAAGCGATGATGCGACTTACGATGGAGCACGTCTACCCATAAGCAACCTATTCACTCGGGCCTTGAAGACATCCAGGATATACCGTTCGGGTAACACAGACTCCGGCAAAGAATCCCACTCCTTAGCGGCTCTGATTATAAAACTGAAGGCGAATCGCTTCGTGCGTATGGGTTTCTCCTGATCCTCCATGATGCAGATTTTTTTTTATGTGATAAGTCGGCAAACGAGCTGACTGATTACCTGATGGTAAGCAATCAGCGCCGCCCATGGACACCCGCAACGGAGGAGTTACGAGTGCGTTGCCAACCTTTTAGGGATTCGGGATTTGGAGATTTAGGGATTGGGGGAGGGGAAGGATTGGGCCTCCGGTAACCTCACTCACACGGCGAAACACAACGCCGTGGTTGTTTCACGCCGGTTTTCTGTGAGGCCGTGGTATCACTCCGGTCGAGCCGACCCATTCGTGCCGAAGCATGGCTCTCCCACACTTCCATAGATTCCATAATTGTTATATGTTTTACCGCCGGTTTTTCTCTGAGGCCGTGGTATCACTCCGGTCGAGCTGGCCTATTATTGGCGAAACATGGCTCCTAGTTCAAAAGGACTCACCTTATCACAGATTGGACACTTATGCTGCGTTTTCCCCATATGTTGGTAGTTGACATGATCCTTAAGTTCATTGCGAGATCTGTATCCCTTCTCACACATGTTACATTTGTATCTGAAAGAAAAATAATAAAAATACTCGATGCTTAATATGCTACTAAGAGCATTACTTAAGAACGGGTTTTTTAACCCCCAACGCAAAAAGAGGGGTGTTATAAGTTTGACGTGTCTGTCTGTCTGTCTGTGGCATTTCTCCTGTGGCCTTTCTCCCGATTACGTCATCACCATTCCCTTCAGTGCGCTTGTATTTGACACCCCACTCGAGTGTATTTGCGGTTACCCTTCCCCACTTACCCCCCATAACTTCTAAACGGCTCAACCGATTTTCGTCAAACATGTCTAAGGACTCCCGCACGTAAGTCACTTTTAATACAAAACTAAACTAAATTGAAATCGCTTCACAGACAGGCAGGTGAGGATAAGATTCAAAATACAAAACCTGACTTTTAAACCTAATATCAAGCCACCTAATATTAATAAGTCTAGTATAGTACCTGATATCAATAAGACTACTTAATTAACCGACTGGTTAAAACGTAGACTAATTTACCGACTGGTTAAAAGATTATAGATCAAACATGCTTTGTAATAAAGGGAGTGAGAGTCTGACACTCTCTCTCTCGCCGCACCCTAGACGACAGAAGCCATCCCCTTTCCCTCACTTCAAAACACAAAAAGGATCGTTAAATTCGAACCAGTAGTTCTTGAAAAGTCAAAGTCAAAATCAAAATCATTTTTTCCAACTAAACCATAAATAGGTACTTTTGAAACGTCAAAATAGAATAGTAGTCTGTCAGTCTGTTCGTCAGTGAAGCTAGGTGCTCATTACAAATTGTAGATTCGAATGGAGAAGAACGAGCAAGAAACTCGATCGTTACTCGTTAAAAAAATATATCTTTTACAATTTCAGTAATATAACATTTAGTATACATTCTTGTACAAAATGGCGCTCACATATGCGTACTCACAATCTTTAAGAGTGCTTCTATATAAACTCTTTGGATATATAAATTAAGGATTAATTCATTTTAAGAATTGTAGTACCTATTAACTATATTTGAGTTTTGTCCAATGGAGCCGAATCAACACGCTGCCAGGCATTCTTATCCTCAATATAATCTGAAAGTTTGTACTATGCCTGTCTACACAGAAATTAACGCGTTCAAACAACCAAAACCAACATAAAACTTACTTCAACAAATCCACTTTCGCATGTGCCGTGGAGTATTTTAAGTGGTTCTCGTAGGATTCTCGGCTGACCAAGGTTTTGTCGCATTGTTCACATCTGTACTTTGGTCGTTCCGTGTGTATTTTCGCATGGTTCGCTCTGAACGCTACTCTGATCATCTTGTGACAGATCGGACATTCCTCGCGAGGTGGTGGAGATTTGTGACGCCTAGAAACATATTTAGCAATATACCTAAAGTTTTTAGCAATTTTTCTCAATTATAAATAACTACTCTCCCGCGGTGTCACCCGCTGCGCGGCTCCATTTAATCGTAGCGTGATGTTTCATAGCCTATAAGCATACAAACCTACAAACTTACAAATTTTACCTCTTTATAATATAAGTATTGATAATATCATAAAGGGGTAACCTTTGTAAGTTTGTATGTAGGGGGTAATCTTTGGAACCGCTGGTCGGATTCCCAAAATACTTTTACTGATAGATAGCTACAATGTTCCTGAGTGCTATAAAACATTACGCAACGATCAAATGGAGCTGAGCAGCTGGTGAAACCGCGCGAGAGTAGCTAGTAATATCTAAAAACATTTTGCTAATCAATTTTGATACTTACTGCTCGTGCCTTCTAAGATTATTTTTGAACGGGAACTGTTGGCCGCAAGTCGCGCATTTGAATCCCTCCCTATGACATCTCTGAACATGCTTCCATCGCGCACTTTTATTTCTGAAAAAAAAAACACATTATATGGAGTTATAGGTCTCTTTCACGTATATAGATACCACTTCCGAAGCGTGAAGATTAGCCAATTGTGGAGGTTCATTTTTATCTTATAGACCGCCAAACGAGCAGACGGATTACCTGATGGTAATCAATCAGCGCCGCCCATGGACACCCGCAACACCAAAGGAGTTAGCCAAACATCGGCACGAATGGGTCGCCGAAGTCATACCACAGCCTCACAGGAAACCGGCGTGAAACAACCACAGCGTTGTGTTCCGCCGTGTGAGTGTACCGGAGGCCCAATCTTTCCCCTCCCCCGGTCCCTCCCAATCCCTAAATATCCAAAACCCTAATCTATAAACGGTCGGCAACAGCCTCGTAACTTTTCCGTTGTGGGTGTCCATGGGCGGCGCTGATTGCTTACCATCAGGTAATCCGTCTGCTCGTTTGCCCACCTATCTTTGTAACGGACATATAGTTTCACTAAGGCACAGACGGACAGACTGACACGTACAAAGTTAAAACCTTCTGATATTTTTTATTTTGCTTGACGTTCAAAAGTACCTGTTGTGGTCTACAGGAAATAAATGATTTGATATCTCAAAAAAAAAAATGGCCGACTTATAAATAATTGGGGAGTTTCCTAGGTCAACAATAAATTAATTCGACGTTTCAATACAATAAAATATTGAAAAAATAACTATACTTTTATTCATCGATCTATCGATACACTAAGTTTTAGATATTTTGTAGCTAATTATTAAGAAATAAGTAAGCTATTTGACGCAAAAAAACTACGTGGTCATAACTCAGTTTTTCATACAACTTTCATAGAAATGTTTCAATTTTGACATTTGGATAAAAGTAATGAATTTGACTAGTTGAAAACTACCGTATTAATCTACTTACCCGAAACTTTTGTCACATTCACTACATTTGTATTGTAAGGCGGAATCGTGTTTTAATTTTGTCGTTGTAGTTATTGAGTCTTCTTTCGTTGCTTCTTTATTTGACTTCAAGTTACTCTGAAAGAAAAACATTTATCATCAGGGGCTGTCCATTAATGGCGTGCGGTCATTTTCTCATTTTTTTTAACCCCTCCCCTACCACAGGTTGATATTTGGTGAAGTTTGGGACCACCTTGGATCACGTGTATTTTTTGGAAGTCTATGTAAAGGCTATTTTTGACCGGAAAAAATGGCGTTTTGATTCGAAAAACATTTATATGCATAAGCGAAAAAAATTCATGAATACATAATTAATGTTGTCTTTGTCTTACGAAGTGGCAAGACTTTCAATTAAAGAGGGCCGCTAGTAGTAATATAAATTATGAAGAGGTTAAACTAGTAAGTTTGTATGTAGAGGGTAATCTTTGGAACCGCTGGTCGGATTGCCAAAATTCTGTCACCGATTGATAGCTACTTAAGCTACAATGTTCCCGAGTGCTAAAGGCTATAAATTATACTTGATTTGCGTATTTTAGTCGAGCTATCGCCTTAAACTTAAGTGTGGGAGAGCCATGCTTCGGCACGAATGAGTCGGCTCCACCGAAGTGATACCACGGCCTTACAGAAGACCGGCGTGAAACAACTACAGCGTTGTGTTTCGCCGTGTGAATGAGGTTACCCGAGGCCCAATCCTTCCCCACCCCCAATACCTCCTCAATCCCTAAATCTCCAAATCCCTAATCCCTAAAAGGTCGGCAACGCACTCGTAACTCCTCCGTTGCGGGTGTCCATGGGCGGCGCTGATTGCTTACCATCAGGTAAAAAAAAACGCTGCTGTTTTTAAAACCAGTGGAAGCTAGGTTTCCTATAAAAAAAATTACTTACCGGTTTGATCTTTTTAGACGGAATTTCTTTCATGTCATGTTTAGTAGCTAAATGTGAATAGATATCGCTCAAATTCAAACTTGTGTATGCACAGAGTTTACATTCGTGTTTATGGTAGTGTTCTTGTCTATGGTGCGTGTAGGATGACATTGGAGCATAGACATGGCATATATCACATTGCGTGTGATATGGTTTCTGAAAGTAAAGAGATTCTTGTTACTGCCTAGCTACGGATGTCAAGTTTTTTACAACCAGCAATTTTTTTTATTTGCGATAGTCTCAAACGCACTGCAAAACAAAACACAGTGTTAGTAAGGCCACCGAAGTTCCTTCAAAGATGGGCAACGGTCTTATAATTTTCCTGGTGTAGCGGGTTTGCATTGTGCTATAGGGTATTCTGTCTGATCGTGGACCTATATACATACACCTTAAAATAATATATTTTGTATAAATATTTAGTATGTAGCTTTTGCCCGCTACTCCGTTCGCGTGTGTGATAGTGACTTCCTACAGATTTTTGGTATAAAAACTATCCTATGCCCTTTCTCGAGTTCCAAAATATGTCTGTAAAAAATTTCAGAGAAATCGGTTAAGTAGTTTAGGCGTGAAGAAGAGACAGACAGACAGACAGAGTTACTTTCGCATTTATAATATTAATTTGGATATACATACCTCTAAGTGTAATAAATTATGTTCATTGAACTCTATTTCGCTTCCAAAAATTTCAATACAGCTGTCACATTTAAAACTAGCCGCTAAAAATTCAGCGTCCAATCTACATTCACTTCTCATCTTCTGCAACTCACAATCATCAATAGAAACTAAGGAAAACCCTTTCTTTAGAATTTTCTTCTTTTTTGCATCTAGCAACAAATCTTTACTTTTTGACAGATCATCATTGTTTATGGTTTTTGACAGTTCATCCTTATAGTCTATGGTTGTTGACAGTTCACCATTGTCTATGGTTTTTGACAGTTCATCATTGTCTGTGGTCTGTGAAACATTGGAAAGTTTATCTTTACAATCTATGATCGTCACTGGAGTAATGTAATCATGGTCTGGCCAGTTGTTGAGTTCTGATAATGGAATATCATCATCATCAAATTCATTTTTGATGACGATCTCTGTAGTTATGCCGCAATCGACGAAATCTTCTGTTAAATTTATAAAATTCGCTGTATTCGTACATTTCGATGTGACTGTTATTTCATTGAGTTTTTGACTGGTAAGGCGGGATAAACATATTGCTTTTACCTGTAGGAGGATTTTTTTATTAGTAGGCAATTGGGTAGTTTCTTATTCCAAAAGTTTTTTTAACAGTAGTTTAGAATGCTAATTATCGAGCGACATACTAAGTTCATTCAAAATAACGATTTAATCACGGGAATTAACAGTAGTAATGAGGTAGGTAGGTAAGTAGGTAGATAGGGTAGGTAGCGTAGGGTAGGTAGGAAGGGTAGTTGTGTCGGGTAGGGTAGGTAGCGTACCGTAGGGCAGATATTGTTTGGGAAAAGTTTAGGTAGGTAACGAAATATTTTTTTTTTTATGAAAAACATAGAAACGAGGTCGGGTAGTGTAAGTAGTCAAATGAAAGGAGGGAAGCCGCGGGTAAGAGCTAGAATATATATAAAAGACAGATTTTAAAAAAAGCATCTCTAGTTTCTAATCAACTATTACAAGCAGTTATTTCCAATATATGAAGCATGTCTCACTATGATAATACGGTAGTTACCAACTACCTAGGCAAAAATACTTTTATCCAAATGTCAAAAACCATACGTTTCTATGAAATTTGTATGAAAAACTGAGTTATGACGTCATAACATGTTTGCATCAAATAGCTTACTTATCTAATAATAAATCTGTAGAGAGGTCAATTCTGTACATTAAATATATTTTCAAAATAACTACCAGGGGGTGATAAGTGATCGATACTGATGCCAAAAAGGCAATCAGTAAAATTTTTGTCTGTCTGTCTGTCTGTTTGTTCCTTATGGAAACAAAAACTACTCGACGGATTTTAACAAAACTTGGTACAGTTATTTTTTATGATCCTGGGCAGGTTATAGGATACTTTTCATCACGCTACAGTTAATAGGAGCAGAGCAGTGAAGGGAAATAAATGTTGGGAAAACGGGAAAAGTTACTCCCTTTAGCTAAAAAATATCTAAAACTTAGTGTATCGATCGATGAACAAAAGTAGGTATAGTTATTTTTCAATATTATATTGAAACTAACCAATTACAATGAAAAAATACATACATGAGTGTGACCGTCAGTAATTTCGCTCAGATGCCTCTGCGCTGTACAAGCCTGTTGTCTGAAACAATGAATTCATTTTTGTAAATAGGCTATTAAATAACACGTCAAAATACTTTGAGAAGAAATGCCGAAACAAACGCAGAGGTCCGTCTCTTATAAGAACTTGCCAATTTGTAAAAAAAATAAATATAATGTGCGATAACCGTGCAAGTTTATTCTGTAGAGGTCTTTTGAGGAAAGAACCACACCAGTTTTAGTGGTGGACCCGTTCTCAAGAAAGGCACGCATGTGTCAGTTTACAACCAGTTCAATAACGGGTGTTGCTGTGTTTCCCGACGGACAGTACCGATCAAAAGAACATTTGCATAACTAACCTGAACCGAGTAATTCTACACATCATAGACTTGCACTCCCAGCAAATGTACAAACTGGTTGTGTCTCTATAAAAACCTTCCTGTAATGAGAAAAACGTTGTTTAAGTGTTATATTATATATAATTATATATAATTGCGCTATTTTTATGGGTACCGTAAAACAAGTTGAATAGAATGTTGGTGAATTTTTTAGTACCTATTCACCTCTTCTGTGTCCCTCGAATTCTATTCACCCCGTTTTACCGTAATTTATATTTTTTTGATGTGACATTAGACTTCACTTTAGAAAGAGTAAAAGAATATTAAAAACAAACTTTATTATGTGTATATTGTTTGTGTGTTTGCTTTCATTCACGGGGCCACTGGGTCCAGACCTTTGGAAGGCGTACGAGGCCGCCACCCGATACTCGGCTTCATTTGATCGTAGCGTGATGTTTAATAGCCTCAGCAGCACTCAGGAACATTGTAGCTATCTATCAGTGAAAGAATTTTGGCAATCCGACCAGCGGTTCCAAAGATTACCCCCTACATACAAACATACAAACTTACAAATATTACTTCTTTATAATATTAGTATAGATGAAGCATGTTTATTATTGAATGTTGTGTACAAGAATATTTGGATTTCAGATTTATGTAATGTATATTGTCTAAATTGGGTTGATTGACTTAGTCTGTAGTCAGTCACTGTACCTATTGAAATTAAATTAATATGTGAAACTGATTTAAAAAGAGTAACCATGGAGTTTCTCGCTTGTTCTTCTCCATAGAAATCTACACTTTGGAACGAGCAAATAGCTTCACTAAGAGGACTGACCGACAGACTGACACTATATCTTCAAAATTTTGTTTGACATTCAAAAGTGCCTGTAAAGGTCTAATTGGAATAAATGATTTTTGACTTTTTGACTTTAGACTTTTAAAATAATATTCTCACACATTATTTTTTACATTGTCTAGACTTTGAAAGAAAACCTCCTCTGAGTTTGTTTCAGCATTTCTTCTCAGAGTAGTCAAATAGGAAATTCTGGCTTCATCTAGTTTTTTTTTGTAACAGTGCTGTTTTCGTTCACATTTTAAATAAAAATTTTTTTTTGTTTTCATTAATACTAAGACTTATGTTGCTATAATAACTTTATGTTCAATACTCAGCTCATTAGCTTCAACTAGCTTTGGTTTTTTTTTGTTTTACTTGCAACAGTTTGAAATGATTTTGTCATGTTTTTGTGCCTCATGTAGATCTGCATACTGGCATATCACAGGGGTAAGCTTATATTATAACTTTACAAATTGACTAGAAAATACGTAAAGCATTTTAAATTTGCAGTTTCGAAGATCAAAAAAATTATAATTTCAGTTGGAAAATATTCTAAATTATTGCCTAAATATTTATATGATAACAAGATACTAAATTTGTTTACAGGGCAGGCAGGTTTATCCTTATATTGATATTATTATAACTGGTGCTATGCAAGTGGAAAAAAGTTTTTCAATAATTTAATTGTTCTTTTTAATTTAATTTTTTTTTGTCAAAAGTAGGCAAGCGAGCGAACGGATCACCTTGTCAATTGTTTCTTGACTAACAATAGAATATTAATAAACTTTTTACTTACTCTATAAGCCTCGGTATCGTATGATAATAAGGAATATAAATTATTTACTCCATCAGGTATTTTGCATAATTGAAACAATTTACGGTCTCGGCTTAAGCAAGTACAACAAAGCTTTTTTAGTTCTAACTCCGGGTTGTCATCCATTTTAAATATTAACAATTGAAGAATCTGCAGTCATTACAGTCTTATTTTTACAAAACAATCGGAATTACCAATTTGTATACAAATACAAAATAGGTACAAAACAAATCGTTTTACTTATAGTAAAGTTTGTCAAAAGTGTCAAATGTCTTTTATTTATAATTTTCTGGCTTGCCTTACATACAAGTCTTTTAATCAAATATAACAAATGTGTTCTGATGTATAATCACATCACATCATCAGCCTATATGTGTCCATGCTGAGAAAAGGCCTTAATCACCACGCTTGCTCAACGTGGATTGGCGATTTCAAACTTTTTTAGAAATTATAAGTCCAGGTTTCCTCACGATGTTTTCCTTCATCATTTGTCAGTGGTGTCATAGAAAGTACATATCACTTGGAAAAAATCACATTGGTACTTGCCAGGTTTCGAACCCGTACCCTCATGAAAGTGAAGCGGGCATTTTAACCCCTGGGCCACCATGATGTACAAAGTTACTATCAAAAAAGTAAACTAGTGAATACTTAATAAATATGCTAACTTTGTCTATGCAAGTCTTTTGTTCAACATCACACAAATATTTGTCATACTTAAAGACTATTTTTATGATGTCCAAGAAGTAATTAAATTAAAATTGTACCAAAGGGTAAATGAAATCCTTATTTTGGGAAAGTTTATAAGATTGTTAACATCTGGGCAGATGTCTTATGTTGTAGCTTTGGTTTTGTCTATGGTACACATTGAGTTACCCATGAAAATAGGAAACTACTATTTGTTTACACAATAATATATAACAAGATAACATTAATTTGAACCATCGCCATACAAAATGATGGTGTATAATGATACAAAATGTAAAGAAATTATTTTAAAAGTTTTATATAAATGCGAAATAAATCAAAATAATAATTATACAACAACTATAAAGGTAACCTTACATTGAGTCTGACATCCCGAAAGCAGAAAGTACAAACAAGGAAACAAAACAATTTTGTCTATGAAATCTACTAATGGCCTATGGCTACTGTATCATTAATTTTATTGTTTCTATTGTGTATTATTCGTAAATAAACACAAAAACTCGATTTTCTCAAATCTAAAAACAGATAGAAGCGTTACATTCATGAAGAACATACTAATATATCTAGAGAAACGCGTAAATTGGTTATAACAAAGATGAATATAAACGTCAATGTTTATGAAGTCCCAGTAGTAAATGCAGTTATTATGCATCAGCCGGCTCCCCCAGAGCCTCAACAGAACCATGTACAGCAGCCCCCGCCACAAGTGAATCCACCAGAACAGCAACCACAACTCCTAGTTGAGAGAAAACCGAAAATTGAGAAGAAAAAGAAAGAAGCGATCGAGGGGCAGGCAAGAGAGATTATTTTTAAAGTAATAAAGTTCTTTGAGAGTGAAAAACAGAACAGAGGATACGCGTACCCAGTGGAAAATGTTGTTAAGAGAGCGTGTGCGGCCACAGGACTGTCGGAAAGCACGATAAAGCGAATAAAACGAGATGGTTTGAAAGCAGAGGCAACGCAAACGAAAATCGCAGGTCCCAAGAAGAAAAGAGTTCGGAAAACGAAAGTACAGCTTGACTATTTCCAGTTATGCGCTCTGAGAGGTATAGTAAACAGTTATTCAGTAAGAAAAGAGGTCCCAACGCTTGGCAAGATTCTAACAGCAGCAAAATTAGAATTAAACTACAGAGGCGGTAAAGAGTCACTAAGGCTTATATTACTAAACAAGCTTGGTATTAAGTTTAAGAAATGTGAGAAAAAGAATAAAAAGCCACCGGAACAACCGCCCCAAGCACCGCAGCCTCAGCCACAGATACAAAACATTATGCAACACCAACCCATGCAACAGGTCATGAAACCAGTTGAAAATCAATGCGTATACACGACCATGATGCCCCACGTACCTCCGGTATCATATTAATGTACATTACAATGTAAATTATATCAAAGATGTTACGTTATGTCCTCGAAACTAGTATTACAGATCATTTCGTTGTTATTTTATGGTTTAATAGAAAAGTAATTCTGATAAGAGACTCCTCTGACGAATTTGCTAATTCCCAAAAGGCCAGTACTTGTATCATTTAAAGGTTCTTGCGGTCAATGGGTGAGATGGTCCCTCTGCACATGCTATGTCGAAAAGGGCTTATCCATAATTGACTTATTTAAAAAAAACATTGCCCCACTTAACTAGTTATACAGATCACACCCAGACCTGGAACAACAATATAATGACTACAGATTTTTTATGCTTGATATACTACAATCCTAGACAGAAAACAGTTGTACTGATTCTTCTCAATATTATAACTTTAGTTTTGAAATTGTTTGTAGATAGTGCAATTTGTCTATTATATTTTTTTTATTGAAGTCTTCTTAACGGTTCCCTATTCAAATTAACCAATGAGTATCCAGCTTCACTGATTCATTGACAGTCTATACTATTATTTATTTTTTTTCAAAATGGTCAGTATTTGGCCGCTGTCATGCCTTGTGAGGTAGAGGGAGTTACCACTCTGTTTCTTCCCCTGCTCTGATTGTGCTTAGATTAACAACCCCTTCAGGACATCAGCCCTTCTTGTGGTGGAGCTCTTTGAGGTCTCTTTTGTCTTTAAATAAGCTATGTTACAGTGGTGTTCATCAAGCTATGAGATGTTATATTTCAAATTATATCAACCACCAATACAATTTTACTGGCCAGTAATAGTAAGACAGTTCTATTTTTGAAAATAAATCATGGACTATTTACAATTAACTATGTAGATAACTGGTCTAGGTTCCTAGAAAGCATACTTTATGGATCCTAGCACATCAAACTCTTTTGTAAATATTCAACTAGTGTTTTAAAAGAATGATGTTAAAAATCGACTAATTATATGTGGCAGAATGTGCTGTGATCTGTACATGGAAAAAAAATGATTTGAAATCAATGCAAAGGCGATTTTTTTTCGATTAAGCGATTAATATTGTTCTAATCAAGGGTTTGCCATTATTAAAAAGCATCGTGTTAAATAAGATTCTTAAATAAATATAATATTGTTTTCAAATTAGAATCCTGTTACATATGAATAAAAATTCACTATTCCACATTTTGTTTTTCAAAGCAATAGCATGCACTTTTAAAAATGTTATAAATGTTTTTGTGAATTATAGTTGTAACTATAGTGAAAAAAATAAAAAAACCCAAACTTAAACACGCCAAACTTAATGAAAACAACGACTTTCTCATGTGAATTTGTCGAGAAAAGTGTCAATACTTTTATCCCAATGTCAAAAACGATACTAAACTTTTGTATGAAAAACTGGGTTATGACGTCATAGTTTTTTTGAGTCAAATAGTTTACTTTTTTCTTAAAAATTAGCAAAAAAATATCTAAAATTCAGTGTATCGATCGATCGATGAATAAAAGTAGTTATTTTTCAATATTTTTACTGTATTGAAACGTCGAATTAATTTATTTTTGACCTAGGAAACTACCCAATTCAGGTCGCTGGGATAACTTGCGTTTACCGCCGACCATTGAATAGTACCTAGGTATCATACAAATTGAATGAGAAATATTTAACAACACAAAAACATATTTAATTTTACGTATTTAAAATTATTTTAAGTTCAAATTTAGCAGGTATGAGTTTGAATGCAAACGATTATGTGGCTATCTGAAGATTTATTTGTTAGATATAAGTACAGCAACGAAAAATTGGCCATTAAATATGATTCTATTGATGTTTTCGAAGTTTGGAAGTATGATACGACATCCCTGTTACTTCATCAGCACATACAAATTAATTTCATGAAAAACAGCAACCATGTTTTGGCCCTTTATATTTGTGCGTGCGAAATATATATTTTACTTTGTATTCGAAAAGATTACATTCGAATATTTCTTTCATTTTTGCTTTTAATTACGCAGAAAATTTTAAAAGCCCTTTTGTAGTTTCGAATTTGTTCTTGTACAGCGGTACATGTCACACGGCTTGCTACACGCACTATTTATAGCTGTGTGCAGTCTGTCACTCACACCAGGTTTCCGAAAGGCCGATCAATGTTAAAATCAATTCAAGTCACTTGATTGGTTGTTGATAATTCAGTCAACCAATCAGATGACTTGACAAGAGATTTAACAGGAGATTAGTTAATTTTAGCGTTGACAAGCCTTTCAGAAACCGGGTGTTAATCAGTCACCGGTAGAAGAGTTAATTCAATAGCTTATTCTTTGTTTTTACCCATAGGACATCTATGTTTATACCTTGTACAGTACTATATATTAATTATTATATTATTTTTAGGTTAATATCAAGATAATATATAAGGCTGAATATTACTTTATGTAATTTTAATCGAATAAAACGATTATTTAAGTTTTTCAATGTCTTATTTGTCACTAGTTATTCTCGCGCGGTTTCACCCTCTGGCCGGCTCCTTTTAATTGTAGCCTGATGGAAATTATCATATAACCTTCCCAGGAGTATAAAGAATACTTGCACCAAGTTTCATTAAAATCTGTCGAGTAGTTTTTGTTTCTATAAGGAACAGACAGACAGACAAACAAAAATTGTACCTACAGATTACATTTTGGCATCAATATCGATCCCCAATCACGCCTATCGTAGTTATTTTGAAAATATATTTCATGTACAGATGTAGTCGCTGCAGTACACAAGTCCGGTCTGCAGCGGGCACCACTAGGAAGTTCAATGTGGCTGTCGGTTTACACCAAGGGTCAGCTCTCAGCCCTTACCTCTTCCTGATAATAATGGACGCTCTGACGTCGGACATTCAGGAAGAGGCTCCCTGGTGTATGCTGTTTGCCGATGATATTGTGCTGGTTGCCGAGAGTGTCCTAGAGGTCCAGAGCAGATTGGAGGTGTGGTGGCATAGACTGGAGAGTGTTGGCCTAAAATTGAGCAGAACTAAAACAGAGTACTTGTTCTGCGATTTTGGCGGTCTCTCTAGTTCTGTGCCCATAGCTCTCGCCGGAACGCCCATACCAACCTGTTCTGATTTTCGGTACCTTGGCTCGCTTATCCAAGGAAATGGTGAGATAGACCGAGACGTGGCACATCGGAT